TTTCACAATTTTTAGAAAATAAAATAAAGATTTCTCTCAGTTTTAGTACTTATTTGAAGCTGAGAGTAGTGGGATTATCTTTTTTAAAAATTATTTATTTTACTTTACAATATTATATTGGTTTTGCCATACATTGACATGAATCCGCCATGGGTATACATGTGTTCCCCATCCTGAACCCCCCTCCTACCTCCCTCCCCATTCCATCCCTCTGGGTCATCCCAGTGCACCAGCCCTGAGCACCCTGTATCATGCATCGAACCTGGACTGGCGATTTGTTTCACATATGATAATTTACATGTTTCAATGCCATTCTCCCATATCATCCCACCCTTGCCCTCTCCCACAGAGTCTAAAAGTCTGTTCTGTACATCTGTGTCTGTTTTGCTGTCTCACATACAGGGTTATCCTTACCATCTTTCTAAATTCCATATATATGCATTAGTATACTGTATTGGTGTTTTTCTTTCTGGCTTACTTCACTCTGTATAATAGGCTCCAGTTTCATCCACCTCATTAGAACTGATTCAAATGTGTTCTTTTTAATGGCTGAGTAATGTGTATGCCCAGCAGTGGGATTGATTGCTGGGTCATATGGCAGTTCTATTTCCAGTTTTTTAAGGAATCTCCACACTGTTCTCCATAGTGGCTGTACTAGTTTGCATTCCCACCAACAGTGTAGAAGGGTTCCCTTTTCTCCACACCCTCTCCAGCATTTATTGCTTGTAGACTTTTGGATAGCAGCCATTCTGACTGGCGTGAACTGGTACCTCATTGTGGTTTTGATTTTCATTTCTCTGATGATGAGTGATGTTGAGCATCTTTTCATGTGTTTGTTAGCCATCTGTATGTCTTCTTTGGAGAAATATCTGTTTAGTTCTTTGGCCCACTTTTTGATTGGGTTTTTTATTTTTCTGGAATTGAGCTGCAGGAGTTGCTTGTATATTTTTTGAGATTAATTCTTTGTCCATTGCTTCATTTGCTATTATTTCCCCCCATTCTGAAAGCTGTCTTTTCACCTTGCTTATAGTTTCCTTTGCAGTGCAGAAGCCTTTAATTTTAATTAGGTCCCATTTGTTTATTTTTGCTTTTATTTCCAATATTCTGGGATGTGGGTCATAGAGGATCCTGCTGTGGTTTATGTCGGAGAGTGTTTTGCCTATGTTTTCCTCTAGGAGTTTTATAGTTTCTGGTCTTACATTTAGATCTTTAATCCATTTTGAGTTTATTTTTGTGTATGGTGTTAAAAAGTGTTCTAATTTCATTCTTTTACAAGTGGTTGACCAGTTTTCCCAGCACCACTTGTTAAAGAGATTGTCTTTTCTCCATTGTATATTCTTGTCTCCTTTGTCAAAGATAAGGTGTCTGTAGGTACGTGGATTCATCTCTGGGCTTTCTATTTTGTTCCACTGATCTATATTTCTGTCTCTGTGCCAGTACCATACTGTCTTGATGACTGTAGCTTTGTAATAGAGCCTGAAGTCATGCAGGTTGATTCCTCCAGTTCCACTCTTCTTTCTCAAGATTGCTTTGGCTATTTAAGGTTTTTGTATTTCTATACAAATTGTGAAATTATTTGTTCTAGTTCTCTGAAAAATACCATTGGTAGCTTGATGGGAATTGCATTGAATCTATAGATCGCTTTGGGTAGTACACTCATTTTCACTATATTGCTTCTTCCGATCCATGAACATGGTATATTTCTCCATCTATTTGTGTCCTCTTTGATTTCTTTCATCAGTTTTTTATAGTTTTCTACATATAGGTCTTTTGTTTCTTTAGGTAGATATATTCCTAAATATTTTATTCTTTTCGTTGCAATGGTGAATGGAATTGTTTCCTTAATTTCTCTTTCTGTTTTCTCGTTGTTAGTGTGTAAGAATGCAAGGGGCTTCTGTGTATTAATTTTATATCCTGCAACTTTACTATATTCATTGATTAGCCCTAGTAATTTTCTGGTGGAGTCTTTAAGGTTTTCTATGTAGAGGATCATGTCATCTGCAAACAGTGAGAGTTTTACATCTTTTCCAATCTGGATTCCTTTTATTTCCTTTTCTGCTCTGATTGCCATGGCCAAAACTTCCAAAACTATGTTGAATAGTAATGGCAAGAGTGGGCACCCTTGTCTTGTTCCTGACTTTAGGGGAAATGGTTTCAGTTTTTCACCATTGAGGATAATATTTGCTGTGGGTTTGTCATATATAGCTTTTATTATGTTGAGGTATATTCCTTCTATTCCTGCTTTCTGGAGGGTTTTTATCATAAATGGATGTTGAATTTTGTCAAAGGTTTTCTCTGCATCTATTGAGATAATCATATGGCTTTTATTTTTCAATTTGTTACTGTGGTGTATTACATTGATTGATTTGTGGATATTGAAGAATCCTTGCATCCCTGGGATAAAGCCCACTTGGTCATGATGTATGATCTTTTTAATATGTTGTTGGATTCTGTTTGCTAGAATTTTGTTAAGGATTTAAGCATCTATGTTCATCAGTGATATTGGCCTGTTTTCTTTTTTTGTGGCATCTTTGTCTGGTTTTGGTATTAGGGTGATGGTGGCCTCATAGAATGAGTTTGGAAGTTTACCTTCCTCTGCAATTTTCTGGAAGAGTTTGAGTAGGATAGGTGTTAGTTCTCTAAATTTTTGGTAGAATTCAGCAGTGAAGCCGTCTGGTCCTGGGCTTTTGTTTGTTGGAAGATTTCTGATTGCAGTTTTGATTTCCTTGCTTATGATGGGTCTGTTAAGATCTTCTATTTCTTCCTGGTTCAGTTTTGGAAAGTTATACTTTTCTAAGAATTTGTCCATTTCTTCCAAGTTGTCCATTTTATTTGCATATAGTTGCTGTAAATAGTCTCTTATGATCCTTTGTATTTCTGTGTTGTCTGTTGTGATCTCTCCATTTTCATTTCTAATTTTGTTGATTTGATTTTTCTCCCATTGTTTCTTGATGAGTCTGGCTAATGGTTTGTCAATTTTATTTATCTTCTCAAAGAACCAGCTTTTGGTTTTGTTGATTTTTGCTAAATCTCTAGCATCTTTGGCCTGAAGGGATGTTGTGAGTATTGTATATAAGTAGTAAATATTAAATAGCATTTTGAGATTTCCTAAAATACTCAATGTAGTTGTCCCCATGATACTGATTAAGGAACAAATAGGAAAAGTAACTGGTTTAAAACATTCTAGGTAATGAGAAAAATTGCCTGGCTTTCATCTTTTTAGCTAGCTTGTAGGGACAAATGTACTATTTTAATTATTAGTGAAATGAGTTTTACATTGATGAGAGTTAAAGTTTTTAGAGCCACAGAGGGAAATAATTAAGTCTCCTAAACCCAGTGTTATTATAAACCTGTTTATTTTCACTGAAATGAGCAATTTCATAAACACTTTTTTAATAAACTTCCACACTTAAGATGCTAAAATTTTTCTCAAAACTTTATATGAAATACCATATACTCAGTCATGAATAAAATTAAAGTTGGAATCTCAGCCTGAAACTACCTCAATATCTCTTTTACAGGCATTTTTGGAAATATACTGCATTTAGTAAAACAAAATATTTTACTTAACCCACATATGGACATACCTGGGAACAAGCAGAGTTGTCTAGAAGTGACCCCAGGAGTTTACACTGAACAATGAACCAGGAGGAAAGTTTGGTAAGTCAAAATAAAATTCATTTTTAAGTTACTGATTTTGACTGTCAAGTCAATGAACGGGAAAGCAAAAATCATGGAAGTTGGAAAATGGCTCATTATTGGACATTGCCTAGAATTATATACAGGTACATTTTTTTTCATATTATTGAAGATTACAAGTGAAATAAATTACAATGTTGTGACAGTTATACAGAACATTACACTAACCTGGAAGGACTTTATGTTCTAAGAAAGGTGGCTTATACCATGTGATTATAAATTGAACACTGATTCATTAGCTACAAAGTTCTTGGCTTTCATATCTTTCCTTAGAAGTTTTTGAGATTTTTGTAATATCTTAGCTATGTTCTTCTTTGGGAGAAATACAGTAGATCTACAAATTGCTCTATAGACATTTTGACTTACTAATAGTACTGCTCCAGCTTGTACTGCTTACCACACAACAGGCCAATAAATCGAGACAAGTTTTTAGGGCAATGAATAGCAACTATATTTGGAGAGCCAGCCGACTGAGAAAATGGTGGTCAAATGTCCCATATAACCATCTTACCTGAGTTAGAATTCAGACTTCTTTTATATTAAAAGGGGAGGGTATGTGGTTGTTTTGCTGTAACCTTCTTGGTATCAGACTCCCTTGTTCTTGCAGCTGTCCTTGTAGTTCAGGTGATGATGTTCCTGTAAACTTTTAATTAGACAAGTGTTATTCTTGTTCTGCAAATTTTTATCCCTATATGAATGGAAAAGTGTTACATCTTTAAAGGTCAGAGTTTTAAGAAAGGGCTATCTTGTATATATCAGGCTATAGACAACATTCTTAATTTGTAGCAAAAGCAATAGAATACAAAGGTTAAAGTAAAAGAAGTAGATCCAATATGGAGTCTTGTTCTTCTCTACTATAGTATCTTTAAAATTAGATTTAAAGATTTACACTGGATGAACACTGGATTCAATGTTATAATTCTAACACTACAGAACAGTTGTCTTTTTTAGCAGAGGGTCAAATCTTGTGGTACCTTAAATCATGTGAAATGGATTTATTCGGTTTACATGTCAAAGTTCCAAGTTGGCCATTGATAGAAGAGGGCCAACTAAGATTTTAGACTTTTAAAGGAAACATTATTGATCTTTGCTGTTCTTTAATTCTGCAGCTGCTATAACTGGCTATTTTAATCAGCACTGCAATTAGCAACACAATTCAGAAACTTACCTCATTCATATTTTCTTAAAAGGGAATTTGACCTTCATAGGAAATAGAAATGTGAATGTCAGTAAAGATTAAATCTGGATGATGGGCGTGTGGGATAGTAGTCTGTCTAGCAGACAGAGGTTCCCACTATGAGATGGAACAAGAAAGATGCATTCTTTTCACAATGGGCTCATGTAGCTGTCTTCTCAATTCAGCATTTGATAGAAATGCATGGTGGGTGAGGAAAGCATGGTCCTGCTATCCAGGCAGACATGTTCCAGGAATGTTGGAGCTTGCCTTTATGATTTTCTTCCCCATTCCTGCCTGATGGTGAGATAAAAGCAGGAGATTCCACATGCAGGAGAATAACTAAGCCTATGTGCCTGCAACTACTGTGCCTGCACTTTAGAGCCCACGTGCAAGCCATGACTTCCGAGCTGGTGTGCTGCACGGGCTGCTGAAGCCCTCATACCTAGAGCTGTGTGACTAAAGAAGCCACCACAATGAGAGGCCCGTGCGCTGCAACAGAGAGTGGTCCCCCAAACTCTATTAGCTCGCTAAAACTAGAGAAGGCCTGCAGAAAGCATCGAAGACCATTGCAGTCAGAAAAAAAGAAATAAATAAAGAGTGAAGGAGGACAAAAATAAGCAAGCTTGTGCTTTTCTAAACAAACCAACACACCAAAATAAAAAAAAGAAGAAGAAGAGAAAATCACCCTTGCTTGAGGTTTATTTATCTAAATTACTCATTTATTTTATCCTATCTTGATCAGATAACATTTTTGGAAGAATTTCAGTGATGGAAGAAATTTCATTTTATTTTTAATGAAGTTTTAATTACTTTCCCAAATTGGGAAATGGCTTACTTTTCCATTTTTACTTACATTTCCAAAGTATATGGCTTGCTTTTTTTCCCTTAAGTGCCAAGAAGATGCAGAGAAAATCTTAATTTTAACTCAAAATTCAGATCAGAAACAGCTGGGTTTCCAACATAGAACATGCAAAGTAATATCATTATTTAAAATACTGAATGCTACTTCCCTCTCAGTTTTTTTAGAGGCAAAGCTTTAAGTCAGTCTATATCCAAGAAAAGTTATCAATGGCTTTCAGACTACAGAAGGATGAATTTTATGAGATATCAAAGTAGTAAAATTTTCAAATTTGACAGTACTATATAAACAGCAATATATTTTTATTTTATAAGCAAAATCCAAAATAAAATAAGCTCAGTTTCTCATTATGCCCCCCCCCCCAAATAATATAGGGAATAGTAAGTGTTATTAACTGGCCAAGAGACTGGAGTATTTAGAAGAGTGGCATGGCCTGATTTACATCAATATCTCACAAAAAATTTAACTGATGAGGGGTCAATATTAAGCATCTGTTAGAGAGTTGACACATCATATACCTAACAAATTATTTGCCTAAAAGTGAAAAATCAATAAATCAAAATCCCCTAAGAGCCTCAAAGCTAATTTTTAGTCTTGGTTTATTCATGGTTACCTCCTATTCTAATTTTGTGAGTAGAGATATGCTAAAAGGATGAGTGATATCATGGTCAATTATAAGAATGGCAGTTTTTATCAAGGTGCTCTCATTATTAAACTGTTCATTTTAATAAATAAAATTATTTAAAGAATCACTAAATCAGATAATGTTTATTAAAAGAAACTGTGTGTTTAAAGACACATCACAGAAAGAATAGCCTGATCAACAAAGTATAAAACAAAAAGAAGATAAGAGTGCCGCAAGTGAGAAAAGTTTGTAGCCTGTTCAGAAAACAGAATAAATGGTTATTAGGCAAAAGCATACCTAAAATACCTAGGAGACAACAAAGGCATCCTTGGTAGGACTATTTTAAACACTGTGTCATTAGAAACATATACTTTCTTCCTGCCATTCTCTGTATTATCTATTAAAATTATAATCATAACCAAATTATTCTGATTTACTGTTTTCAATGAAGTTTTTGCTACCAGAAATTAATCAATTAATTTTCCTTCTAACCACTAGAGTACAAATTTCATGAGAACTAGAAAACTGTCTATTTTGTACCAGTGTGTCTTAGTAGTCTAGAACATTTCTTGACATATAATAGATGCTTACAAATGCCTAGCCAGTGTTCAGGTGGATTGATGTGTGAGAAGAATATATAAAAGCTGATACTCAAGTAGGGCTTCAAGAACAGCTGAATGAGGAGCGAAGCAGATTCCATGCTCTGTGGCAGAGCTGGAAAAAAAGTTTCCAGCAGGCATGTGAGTGGATAAGCAGGAAGCATATAGAGCTAATACATGGCCAAGGGCTGAGTGTGGGCTAGTGTGTGGCCCAAACAAGAACAGGAATTCACTTGAAGACTGTTGTCAAATGGCCCACCGGGTGCTAATGAGTGAGACTGGGGCTGGGCAGGAGGACTGAGGGGGCCTGAGAGGCACCAATCCGCCCTCCCCCACTTTTCCTTCTTATAGAAAGAATAAATAAAGCCTTAAGTCACTGCGCAGAGTCAGGAAACGCTGTTGCTTATTTGAAGGAGATTGAATAAAAAGGGAAAAGAGGGATTGCTTTATGGAAGTATTTTATACCTTGATTTCAGACACAACTTAGCAACTGAACAATACAACTACATTTGTTTATCAAAATTCATATAATGGTATACATAAACAGTATGAATTTTACTGTACATTAAATATTCCTCCAAGCCTGGCTTTAGAAAAGTTATTTTTCAACTCTACAAAGTAACTATTATGCATCTGAACCACTAAATTGCACAATTTTTCTGTATTAAACATCCTCGATGAAACAGGGAATGAATGGTTTGGGGCAGATTAAGAAAGAAGGCTTTCTCCTTGTTTATTTATGTGTGTGTGTGTGGGCGGGAGGGGGTTGTTCCTGAGTTTCAGGATGAAGGAACTTGTTGCTGTTGTTAGTTGTTAAATCATGTCCAACTCTTTGTGACCCCATGGACTGTAGCATGCCAAGCTCCTCTGTCCTCCACTGTCTCCCAGCGTGTGCTCAGATTCATGTCCATCGAGTTGATGCTATCTAACCATGTCATCCTCTGCCGCTCCCTTCTCCTTTTGCCCTCAATCTTTCCCAGCATCAGAGTCCTTTCCAATGAGTCAGCTCTTTGCCTCCAGTGGCCAAAATATTGGAGCTTCAGCTTCGGCATCAGTCGTTCCAATGAATATTCAGGGCTGATTTCCTTTAGGATTGACTGGTTTGATTTTCTTGCAGCCCAAGGGATTCTAAGGAGTCTTCTCCAGAACCAAAATTCTTTGGAAAACATCAATTCTTTTGTGCTCAGTTTTCCTTATAGTCCAACTGTCAGATCCATATGTGACTATTGGAAAAACCATAGCTTTGCCTATACATATATTTGTTGGCAAAATCTTGCCTCTGATTTTTAATACACTGCCTAGGTTTGTCATAGCTTTCCCTCCAAGGAGGAAATGTCTTTTAATTTCATGGTTGCAGTACGTCAACAGTGATTTTTGAACCCAAGAAAATAAAATCTGTCACTGCTTCCACTTTTCCCCTCTATTTGCCATGAAGTGATGGGACCAGATGCCATGACCTTAGTTTTTTTTTTTAATGTTGAGTTTCAAGCCAGCATTTTTCTCTCCTCTTTCACCCTCACCAAGAGACTCTTTAGTTCACTTTCTACCATTAGAGCGGTATCATCTCTATATCTGAGGTTGTTGATCTTTCTCCTGGTAATCTTGATTCCAGTTCGTGATCCATTCAGCCCAGTATTTTGCATGATGCACTTAGTGTATAAGTTAAATAAGCAGGATGACAATATACAGCCTTGAAGTACTCCTTTCTCAATTTTGAAACAGTCTGTTGTTCCATGTCTGGTTCTAACTGTTGCTCCTTGACCTCCATACAGGTTTCTCAGGAGGCAGGTCAGGTGGCCTGGTATTCCCCTCTTTAAGAATTTTCCACAGTTTGTTGTGATCTACACAGTCAAACATGCTTAAACATGTTGAGGAAGAAGAGCAAATAAAGCTGGAGAAATTGATGGTGATGAAATAATAGATGTTACTATATAAGCAAATACAAACTACAAACTTAATTCTCCCCATGGAAACTAAGGACAGAACTTTCCTCACTCTGGTTTTGTAGTGCATTTACTTTAGAAAACTTGGTCATTTTAAATTCTTTCTCTGTCTCTTTGCAAAGTATATGAGTCATTCTAAAAGCTAAATAAGCCTCTAAATGGCTTCACAATGCAGGAATGTCTTTCTCAGGAATCTGTAAACTATCTCTTTGAAATGCAATCGTCAAGGGACATAGCACCCTACCTCCTAGCCTGTGGGAAGGTAGGAGCTTCACTTCAATGGGCACCTTGCTCCAAGTTGCAAAATTTCTTCCTGTCATAAAGATGTGATATTTATTTTTCCTTTGGACAAAGCCAATTAACTGACATAGAAGGTCATCACAATAACCAGGTGAACTTAGGGTGAACTATGTGTGACAAAGGATGCCATCAAGACCGTTTTGTATGTAATGGGTTATAACTGCTTGTCATAAAAAGATGAGATTTCTATCTCTACAGTCTCTTTAGTGGGCTGCCTACGATGTGCCTCACATTCTGGCTTAGTGCTTTTTTAATAACTAAACTGAGATTCTTCTACATTTGTAGAGAGGTTTTCAGGGTTGAAAGAAGATATGCTTTTAATTATATGTCCTAAACACTAACTTTTAGAGAAATATTCATCCAGAGACAAAGATGAGAGGACTAAGGGGAGCACAGATGAGTGAGTGTTAGTTGCTCAGTCGTGTCTGAATCTTTGCGACCCCATGGATCTTAGCCCCGCAGGCTCCTCTGTCCATGGAATTCTCTAGGCAAGAAAACTGGAGTGGGTTGCCATTCCCTTCTCCAGCTGCACAGATGAGGGAGTAGTTAAATAATTTAGAAAACAAGGAAGAAAAAATATTGGTGGACATAAGATTAATGATAAATGTCAGTCTGCTCAGGGTGCTATGACAAAATATAACAGGCTGTGTGGCTTAAGTAACAGAAAAATATGTTGTCATCACCTGGAGGTAAGCCAATTCAGTTTCTGGTGAGAGCTCTTTTCCTGGATTGGAGAGATAGAGATAGATAGAGAAAGGGAGGGCAGGGGAAAGAGAGAGGGAGAGAGAGAGAGAGAGAGAGAGAGAGAAGAAAGAGTACACTTGAATGTCTCTGTTTTTAAAGGCACTAATCCCATCAGGAGGGCCCCATCTTCCTGATCTC